GCCAGTCCCTAGCTTTACCGTCGAAACGGCTCCCAGCACCGTTCTCTTAAACCCTACACCCTAAACCCTAAACCCTAAACCCTAAACCCTAAACCCTAAACCCTAAACACAGTCTGCAGCATACAAGGCTCTTAAAACATCTTGGAAATACACAGCCCTCAGTCACGAGCCCTGGACCCGTAAAGCCTTAACATCGGGGATTCGCTCGGAAGTACTTCTGCTCCTATAATTACCCTAAACCCGAAACCCTAAACCCTAAACCCTAAACCCTAAACCCAACACCCTAAAGCCTGCTTATGCACATAAATGTCGACGCCCGAGCTTGGGCTTCCCGCCTCTCCAACCTCTTCAGGCCGGGAAGGGACGTAGGAGGTGCTAGACCCTAGACCTTAAACCCTAAACCCTAAACCCTAAACCCTAAACCCTAAATCCTAAATCCTAAATCCTAAACCCTAAACCTAAACCCTAAACCCTAAACCCTAAAGGGTCCGAGAGCCCCGGCTCGCATGAACCCTCAACCCTAAACCCAAGATAACCCTAAACCTGCCCACCAGCCTCGCCTGACTTCGTCCGCGCTAGTCTTCGAGACACGCCTGACAGCTTGAGCTTGTGTTCACAGTCGCGACTGCATCTTTCCTGTCTGATTTCCTGTCCTCCGGGGCTCTCCATCTGCTGCTTGTAGATGAAGGTACATACACGGTACTCCATCGGAACCTTACCTGGGACTCTATCTACCTACACTTTAGTAGCTTAGTAACTACCCGTAATCAGTAGGAATAGCCCATAAAACTGTAGGTAAAGAGGTTCCCAGGTATGAAGGGCACTGTGAAAGTTCAGGTACTTAGCAGCCCAATTGTAACTGTACCTATAGCCCAATTAGAGCCCTATTGGGGTACTTGAGGGGCTTTTAAGTGGGTTAGAGCTAAACTTATCATTGGGTTATAGGTACCCTAAACCCTAAACCCTAAATCCTAAGCCCTAAACACTAAGTACCCTGAACCAAGTAGGCTTACACAGCACTCTGCAGGTCCACAGCTTCGGTGTGCGAAGCACAGCTGCCGAAGCATCTTGCCTTCTGGTGAACAGGGCTTCGGGTTTAGGATTTAGGGTTTAGGGTTTAGGATTTAGGGTTTAGGGTTTAGGATTTAGGGTTTAGGGTTTAGGGTTTAGGGTCATTTTCAGTGCCCTCTTTGCAGATAGAGTCTGGAGGCATTCGCTTTGAGCGTTTGTTGGTTGGTCAGAATTCATGCCTTGTGAAGGGCCTGGGTTCATGGAACTGTTGCTTTTTGCTTGGAAGTGCAGAAGAAGAGTTATAAAATTGTGGCTTCCCAGGTGCGTGTGGGTCGTGATCGGAAACTCCGATGCAGATGCCATCCCGCAAGCACGGAAGTGCGCTGAAAGGCTTCAGAGAGCATTGCCGCAAGCAGAAGGCGCCTTGCGACGCGGAGTCTTCAAGGATGAACATATGATTGTTTTGTAGGAACAGGTTTTTTGTTCACGGTTGTTTTGAGGTGTAAGGATATCAGCATTATAGGGCTATTCCGGGGCTTGCATGTGCTTGTGCATCTGTCAGGCGCTCGAACTTGCAGCGATGCGGTCTTTGCTATCCTCGATCAATCGGCCGAAGAAATTCAGAATGCACTCCTTGGAGCAGTAGAGTACATGGCAGATCACAAAGTTGATCACTTGTTCGTGTATTATGCAGGGCACGCTGTTGCCACGGATGACGATCCAGAGTGGACAGTCATTGAGCCCACATCCTCTGGTGCGAAGCTCTACCTCATTCCAGCAGTGATGAAAATTGTGCAACAGCTAGGGCTAAAGAGTGTCACAGTTGTTCTCTTTATCGATGCCTGCGCCTTTCAGACAGACTGGAACGACGACGAGGACTTCGACCTGCAACCGGACGCTAGCAATTTGTTCATACCCGTGCGCTCAGGCAAATTTGATGAAGGCGTCCGCGACGGATGTTTATTTGAGCGAGCCCTCGAGCACTGCTTGCAGCATCATTTTCAAGACGTGCACTTTTTCGTGGCTTGCGTGCAAGAACTGGCGAGGCAGTTGTCATTTGGACGGCTGTGCGCTTCGGGCCGTTGTAACTTGGGGGCTGCTACGTTGGAACCAGTGCTGAAGGAGTGGCCCTTGACTGAGGCACAGAGAAGGGAACGCATTTTTGAACGAAGTCACTTCTTGAGATTCGCCTGTGACTTGTGGACCGAAGAGTTTTTGGAGCGTGATGACTCGGAGGTGAGAGATGCTATTTCCTTCATCCGGGAGATAGCCGATTTATTTGAGGCAAGACTGGCGTGGTTTCTTGAAGATCCTTGGCGCGAGCTGGAGGTGATCACGCTCTGCACACAGCTGGAGATTGCCCCCAATGCCTTTCAAACGTTGCAGGCAAGGGCAGAGGCCGCAGAGAACCATAGAGAGCCCACTCCACGTCTTGAAACCGATGTGATTCCCGAAGAAGTTCGCCGTGCGGTAGCCAATGCACTGAGGGGAAGTTTCCCTGGCAAAATCAATGCTTCTTCGGGTGAGGAGCTTCCAGTCCTGGAGGATGTGCGATGCCTGCTCCAGGACTTGAGTCAGTGGTATGAAAAATATGAGGGCTCCTCGGTGGATGTGACAGGAGCGGGGCAACGGCGCTGTCGCTACGCGTTGTGCGTGGATGGCTTGGATATAAACTGCCTGTGCGAGGGCGACCTGAAGAACATTGCAGCATGCATCAACCAGCTTTGCACAGATTTTGAGATACGAGATCGGGTCTATCTTGCACCTGGCAGTCTCTGGCTGGTGTTCTGTTTGTGCCAGCCCTTGGCGAAAGATCAGCAAAGCAAGTTTCGAGACGCATTTTGCGAGTTCCTCCACGGAAGCATAGAAGGTCGTGGCGGCCATGGATGGAGTCTTACCAGCAAACCTAGCTGGAAGCCCATGCACGCAGTCCCGGCAGGCATCTACAAACTGGTTCAAAAGCTCGATACCATGGTTGGACCTGATTCCTCTTCTGGAGTCGATTCGCTGACTCAGGTCTTGTGGCTCAGAGCATCGGACCTACGACAGCATATTGCCGAAAGCACCTTCGACAGCAGTTCAGGCATGGTAGAAGCCACTGATGCATGGAGGATCATCGTATTCGAAGACACCGTGGAACGAAGGGGCGCAACGTGGCAACTCGGCCGTGCTTAGACTTGGGTTTCGGGCTTGCTTCAAGCGCTGGCATATATTGGAGCCGACACTAGTAACTAGATATTACGTACTGTTGAAACGACATCATCACATGCAAGTCACTGTGAGGCTCCAAGGCACGGGCGGGTTGCGGATTGCTGTGGCGAAGAGCTTTCAGGATTCAAGCCGTGACTCGAGCCTGCAGCTTCAGTTGGAAGAGCTGGTTCGCATGGCAAATGAGAGGACCGCTTGCAGCGCACGGCGTTGCATGATGAAGTGAACTTCGGGGAACTTCGGGGTCCATGCTGATCTTCGTGAAACCCTAAACCCTAAACCCTAAACCCTAAACCCTAAACCCTAAACCCTAAACCCTAAACCCTAAACCGCTCGTTAATCCCTTCCCTCTTTTATTAAATGCACCGCTAATTATAATTACAAAAAAAACGCTTTGCGGAAAACCCTCCCGAAATCACCCCGAAAATTTACACCCTATTCAGAATTAGGGGGTGGTTTGATGGCTCCCAATCCCCTCAAACCAACCAACATCCTGAAGCTCCCTTCCCTCTTTCACTTTGCAAGCTAATTCAGTACTCAAACCCTCCAAACTCTGAAGCCTAAACCCTAAACCCTTTGGACCCAAAACATGACATTTGCAGAAGAATATACCCTTAATTCTAAAACACACACTTCGAATTTCTATTTGGGGGGGGGGGGGGGGGGGGGGGGGGGGCGTCCGTTTAATATTAGGGAATAATTAGGGGAGAAAGGATTAGTCGTCATAGGTTGTGTTTTTTGATATGTTGCAATAAAAATAGCCTGACCGCAAGCTCTTCTGCCGCAGGAAGCTGAAGATGCGCCCTGAGATACATGCACTGGCTTTCCTACGGCACAGAGTAGCATCAGCTTTGCCAGCTTTGCCGCTTGCCAGCAATCCGTGATCAGTTCGCGTCGTCGCTTTGAGGTGCGACTCAAGAACAGCAGGCCCAGCAGTAGAACACAGCCAAATGGCCTGACAGTGGAGGGCTTCGCGCAGCTTTCTGGGCCCAGTCCTTGTTCTGATAGACCCAGGACGAATGCTGAGTGGACGGAGGCCCTCGCCTAAGTTTTCAATTCAGAACTACCGAGTCAAGCAGTCCATTGCGTGGAATCGGAACTTGTGTTGGGCGGCCCTAGTTTATGTGCCCTATAGTTTATGTTGCCGAGTCTCGCAAGTGCCACCGAGTCCAGTGCTTGGAGGTACTCGCCAGCCAAACTACCTGCTTACAGCGGTTGGAGGAGGTGTTTGCCCAGGCCTTTGGGGTTTAGGGTCCAGGGTTAACGGGTTTGGCTTTGTGGCCGCTTGAAGACAGCCTCTCAAACCATGCAGAAGTCAGGCCGGGTCTCACTTGAAGCGATTGCAAGTCTAAAGATTGCAATGCATTCGTGTCATGGGAACGTCCTTCTGCTGCGAAAAGCAGCAAGTCACAGGATTTTTTTGCCGTGAATCTCATGCACTGTAGGCCTTCCTATGCTATGCCAGAAATGCATTGACCACACTTGCTATCAGCAGCCGCTTGTGCCCGCATGTAAGCCACGCAGGCATCATCTTAAGTCGCGGCCTTGCCAGGAGCCTGCTGCGCAACAACATGGTTGTTTTTTGCTGGGGATGTGTGTGAAGTCTTTCACGCAGCAGTCTTTTGTTAAAGTCGTGCTCTCCCGCTTGTGTTGCCACCTCATGCCAGGTCATTTGCGCAGAGAGGCAAAACCCACAGCAGCTTTGTCAATAGATTGGCATGTTTTTTGCTGCTTACAGGGGGGAGTCGTCCATCAGAGTATGTTTGAGCTTACGCCTTCCAATGTTCCTGCCGTGTTGCGAGGTGCGTTGCGAGAGGGGCCCCGTTGGGCACACAAGGGCATCTTCACATTCACTTTGAGTCCGAGAGGCCCTCGCGAGTTCTGCTAGGTAGAGCTGCCAAGACTGCACTTGCACTGTCGGGGGTCACAGGCCTCTTTTCTGCCTTAGTCGGGGTCCTTGCGTGGAGAAGCCTGAAGCGGCTTGAGGAGATTCAACGCGAGGAGGAGATTCAATGGCAATTGCTCCAGGAGATTGAACGGCAACGGTTTGAGGCGATTCAATGGCGAAAGTGGATTCACCGGCAACGGCTTGAGGAGGAGAATCGATGGCAATGGCTTGAGATTTCACGGCTTGGTGAGATTAAACGGCTACGGCTACGGTTTGATGAGACTCGATCGCAAGAGTGGATTCAATTGCAACGGCATGAGGAGGAGACTCAACGGCGACTGCTGCAACGGCTTGAGGAGAGACAACGGCGAGAGGAGCTTGAACGGCTTGAGGAGATTCAACGGCACCGGTTGGAGGAGACTCGACGGCCACAGGGGTTTCAGTGGCTTGAGGTGACTCAATGGCAACGGCTTGAGGACATTCAACGGCCAGAGGACCTTCGACGGGAGGAGGTTCAACGGCTTGAGGAGATTCAAAGGCAAGTGTGGCGAGGGTTCGCGGTGATTCAACAACAACGGCTCGAGGAGTTTCAACGGCGAGAGGAAATTCGATGGCGAGAGGAGATCCGACGGCAGGAGGGTCAACTGCTGGAGGAGATTCAACGGCAAGTACGGCTAGGGTTTGAGGGGATTCAACAGCAACGGCTTGAGGAGATTCGACAGCGAGAGGGGATTCAACGGCTTGAGGAGATTCAACGGCGAGAGGGGTTTCAACAGCTTGAGGTGATTCAACGGCAACGGCTTCAACAGATGATTCAACTGCGAGAGGAGATTCGACGCGAGGAGGTTCAATGGCTTGAGGCGATTCACTGGCGAGTACGGCGAGGGTTTGAGGAGATTCATCAGCTTGAGCATGCGCTCGAGACTTCCCTCGGTGAAGAAAGATCTAGAGCAATGACGAGGCTAGAAACACATTTTCGGCCTACGCCGATGCAATCAGTGTGCAGGGAGGCTTGGAACATGCAGCCGAAGATTTAGAAATGGTCAATTGCAACCAAGTGCGGAGGAATCGACTTGAGCAGTCGTACACCTATGCCGCTGGAATTATCACCGTCGGGAAACAGCTACATGGCAAAACTCGGCGCTGCGTCGATGGAGCTTTTGAAGCCGACGTGTGATCCACTAGTATGGTTCGAAGGCATGAATGTCAGTGGTTCATAGTTATGTTCATAGAGTCATTTGCCCACGAATCTCATGGATAAGTGCCGTGCGATCTATTCCTATTTGTCGGCCGACTGAGACCATACAGCGGCAATCGCCGATCACCCTGGGACAGAGCCGTAGACATCAGAAAACTTGGCCTGAGATGTGATGCCGATGAGAAGCTGAGTTCGGAATCAACCTTCGGGGGATCCAAGCGTCCATCTGCAAATCTGCCGGATGACGAGCTCCCCTGTCACAGCATCTGTTCTAGTCCCTTGACCAGCCGACAGAATCAACGTGGCAAAAACGCGCCAAACTGTAAAAGCGGCTGGCCGAGTGCGGCCACGACGTGTCTTGTCCTTTCTTACTCGTCGAGGGGCTTGCGTGCAATCCTGGTAGACGGTGTCGTGGTTCCGGGGTCCCCGCGTGGCACCCCAGGCGCGCGCTAGTTGTCAACACTTCTTGTTTTCAAAGGTCCGAATAAGGGTACGTCGTACTTGCACCAACTTTTTTTTTTGCAGGGGGAGGTGGATGTAGATCCAAACATAGCAGAGCAGCTCCTGTAAGCGGAAAGTTAGTTCGGTGATTCACTTTATACTTTTAACGTAAACTCGCTAATTATGACTCGGACGACCTTTTCCCCGATTTGAAGCGCAGGGACGAAGCCCATGACTTCCCGACAGCTGAAGTTGCGGCTCAAAGGGCCAAGGCTTAGGGCTTTTGGCATCGTGGTGCAGGGCTTCAGTAGCTGAGCACATGCAAAACGGAGCCGCATCTCAACTCGTACTTTTTAGGTGAGACCTGTAGTGTTCAAGCCCTTAGCATTTCCAAGCGCGTGAAGAAGCAACGTCGCCCAACCTCAGCCCCCAGACCCTGAAACGCTAAGCCTGCAAGGAACTTACTCCATAGCAGTTCCCAATTCTTCCGGAGCTATAGAGAGCCAACAAAGCTGTCAGAGTAAGTCGCCGATTCTGCTCCACACCTCCGTCTCGAAGCGCGGCAACAAACAGCTCGGGTCCCGGAGTGCGGTTTATAGGGTTTGTAGGGCTTTAGGGTTCAACTAGCCGTTTTAGGGATTTAAGGTTGAGGGGTTAGGTTTTAACTATGGTTATAGGGTTTTAGCATTTAGGGATGGGCTTAGTGAAGGGTTTGAGGCCTCTAGGTTGAGCGGGTTAGTTGTGGGTGTAAGATCGCTACAGGAATATATGTGATTGTGTGACTTAGGGTTCATGCTCCTGCGGTTTGTGCCTGGAGAGAGATTTGCGTTGCAGGGTTTTCGGGTGTCTAGCTTGGCTATGTCACATTTGTTGCATCCGTGCCCAGCCACATGACAGCTGCAGTTTGCCGTAGGCTTCTTTGTGATTCGATTGGGTTGTGAGTGGAACATGATGTGTGCGAGCAGGTCAGAATGCAATCGAGGTGATGAGCCAAAGCCCCGCAAGCCATGCTTTGGAGCTGCGGCATAACATTTCCGCAACCTTGAGATTGCTTAATAAGCCCTGTGCATGAAGATGCTCTGAGGGTAGCAGGTCGAAGAGTGACATGGTTTCGCTTCGTGCAGCGGAGCAAGAGCAGATTCCTTTCGAGGGACTTGAGCAGGTCACGCGCAGGTTTCAACTCCGCATGTACTACATCCGGGTAAGACAGTGTGATATGGTGTGATATGTATGTTTACCCTTCTTGGGTATAAGAAAACCCTACACCCTAAACCCTAAACCGTAAACCCTAATTAAGCATATTTTGCAGAATTGTTTAAGAGCGAAGCTGGGCATGCATGTGGCATCCCAGACTAGACTTCGACTCAACCAAAAGCGCCTCAGGCCCCCAACCCCCTGGTTCTTCGTAGGGAATGAGGGAATTAGAGCCCTATATACATATATATATATATACATATACCCTTTGAGGAATTAGATAGGGTACCTCATTCCCTCATTCCCTAGTAAGAACCAGCCAGCCACCTCCACACGCTTGTAACAAGGTTTTTTTGGCTACGCCCCTAAACCCTAAACCGGGTCTATGGGCCGCATTAAACCCTAAACCCTAAACCCTAAACCCTAAACCAGTCGAAGCATTCGAAAACCCGAAACGCAGCGCGGAAGGCTGCTACATGCGGTATCCGGATTTGGAGGCCTTGGGGCACTTGGGGCAAAGCTGTTGTAAGATGATCCGGGCCTTCAAGGGCGGGATGTTTAGGGTTTAGGGTTTGGGGTTTGGGGTTTGGGTTTAGGGTTTATAGTTTAGGGTTCGCCTTGGATCTGGGGAGGGTTTAGGGATTTCGGGCTGGTGGGTCTGTCAGGCTGCAGGTCTCGAGTTTGTAGGGTTTTGGGCTTTTGTGCCAGGTTTTCGGGTTCAGGGTTTTTGGTTGTACCGTAGGGTGTCGGGATGTCTTGTTCTTTTGGTCATACGTAGACCATGGAAGTGTTCCTTGGAGTCAATATATGCCCTCTCAAAGCCTGTTTGGGCTTCGAACCCTGCATCCGAATCCCTGCATTTTAGGGTTTAGGGAGCTTGTTAAAGATGTTGGGTTGCGGCTTACATCTTCAAGGACCACCTCTTGTTGGTGTGAGCGTGTTGCTTCAGTCAGTTCTGTGTCAACCTACCTGGACAGAGCTGACACTCGCAGGGAAGGATACCCTTATAGCCTTGAACCCTGAACTCTGAACCCTTACCCAGCCCCACCCTCCCGTTTCATCCCCAAAAACATGGATGTGGCCGTTCCGAAGAAGGAACGAAACAAACTGGATGTCCTGTGAGTTCCAAGTATTTTCGGCAGGGTTGCAGAAGTTCGGGAAGCCCACGATGCTCTGGCGCGCTTTGATTCTGCGACGCCGCCATCATGGGTCGAAACCGACCTGGGACTTCCAGTGGCGGATCCAAGCTGATGGACGCGCAGCTGTTGATATACGATAATGTGTCGAGGGCTGAAACCCAAACCCTGAACCGTAATACCAAGGCCCAAAAACCCTGAACCTTCTACCCTGCACTTGTTCACAGATACCCTATACCCCTAAACCCCAAACGCCAAACCCGAATACCAATTCTTAGAAGCCCTAAATCGAAACCCTAAACCCGAAACCCTAAACCCTAAACCCTAAACCCTAAGCCCTACACGAGTTCACAGGATGCCTCACTGCTGGACCGACACCGGCTCCAGGAGGCTGAAGGCACCCGACCTTGGGGGGTTTAGAGTTTAGGGTTTAGGGTTTAGGGTTTAGGGTTTAGGGCTTAGGGTTTAGGGTTTAGGGTTTGGGGTTTAGGGTTTAGGGTTAGGCATGAAGGTTCCCCCCTTATACTAACAGTCCTGAATTAGGGATTATAGTACCGGGGGGGGGGGGGGGGGGGGTGGCTTGAGGGCTCTTGGGAAGTTGTGGAGGCTTTTGGGGGATAAGACTGGAGATTTGGACGCCTGAGCTGAGGGTTGAAGTATGGGGCTTCGGGTCTAAGATGTCAGGCCTAAAGAGGCTCAGGTTGGGAGTTTGTATTGTATCCTGTATCAGTGATAAGGAATATAGGATAATAGAGATGCAGGTAAGACTGGATGATAATTTAGATCAACAACTATGTCTTTTTGGACCGGAAATAAAAGGGCTCAGGGGCATAACGCAGTTTATGGGGTTCAGGGGGTTTAGGATCCATCATCTTGGTAGCCGAGACTCGAGGGCGTTACTCCCATGTGAGCACTCTGTTCCCGTGCCCGTGCTGCAGGTGTTGGGGTCTTGCGGGACAGGGTGCAGTCGGAAGAAGATTTTCATCCATGCGCCAACCTTAGAGGGTTTATAGGGGATTTAGGACCCGGAGTAGGCCCTTATTTCCTTTTTTTGGGTTGGGGTTCTCTTACAATCCCCTTAAATCCAAAAAGGGCGCCCTTTCGTTCCTAGGTTACTCCTGGGTCTAGGGGTTTTGGGGTGGTTTAGAGTTTAGCATTTTAGGCACATCGTCTCTAAGCCGGTGCTCTTTGCAATCCGGCGTCAGATTCAAAGGCAGCGCCAGGTTGAGGTAAGGTTGACGGGGAAGGACATTCCTTGAGGGGCACGTGGAGGAAGCTAGCTGCTCGAAGCTGTGCTTGCTTTGGGGGATTTTGCCCTCAACCTTGAACCCTGTGAGCCCAACCCTAAACCCGAAGCCCTGAGCCCTGAGCCCTAAACCCTAAACCCTGTCCTTAGACGCTATGTGCCAGAGCCTTTGGCTCTGTGACCAAAGGCTTGTGCTTGTCAAGCCAAGAAAATCTAGCGACCCTGTGCGCAGTTTTGAGAATGAGCGTCCCTTCTTTAGGGGTAACTTCCCAGATCTTGCAAAACCCCTTATTTAAGGAACATACCCTAGTGCATAATCATGATCTTTAGTATAAGTTATGGTATATTCCTTAATCACGGGGTTTTGGAAGACCTGGGTCTACACAGCAGGAGCTTGGGGTCGAAAAGGATTGAGGTTTTTTTTTAAAGGGTCCCTGGGGTGTGGGCTTCGATTTGGGTTCCACAAGTGTTTAGGGTTTGGGGTTTTACAGCTTTTCTTGGGGGAGGAGCCCTACACCCGAAAAGCTCCCAAGCCCCCACACCAAGACGGGCAAACGGAAGTTAGGGGTTGTGTCGGGTTGCAGATCCCAGCCTTTGCCTGCAACCCAAGGATTCTTGCTGGTTCAAAACCCAACTTTTCAACTTTTGGGCTTCCAACTTTTATTTCCGTGGGTTTTGGGCCAGTAAGGGAAGATGCCCAAAACCCCTTACAGTTCCTCTAGCCCCAGAACTTCTAAGACGAGAGTCCTTAGAGATTGGGGCACAGAATCCCTAAACCCTAAATCCTAAGCCCTTAACCCTGAATCCTAAACCCTAAACCCCCAATATCCGAAACCCTCAACCCTAAATCCTAAGCCCTCAACCCTGAATCCTACACCCTAAACCCAAAAATCCGAAACCCTCAACCCTAAATCCTCAACCCTGAATAGTGTTAAGGTCCTCGACCTGGGTTGCTGAGCTGTCGCACGCCCGTGCTGGCGGGAATCAGCGGATGCCTCAGCCGAGCTGATCCGTCGTGGAGTTTGGGTTTTAGGGTTTAGGGTTCAGGGTTTAGGGTTTAGGGTTTAGGGTTTAAGGTTTAAGGTTTAGGGTTTAGCGTTTGGGCGAGAGGGGGGGTCAGCAGTCGGTGGGGAGTGGCGTTCTTTTGAACTGGGCTCCTTTGGGGGGGTGTCTTGTTTGGAAGGGGCTCCTTTCAACAGCTACAAAAAGGCGCTTTGTCCACACTCGCACCCTAAACCTCGTGGGTTTGCTAGCCCGAAACCCGAAACCCTAAACCCAAATGCTTTCTAGCCCTACCCCAAAGAGGCAAGGAGAGTCAAGCCTGTTACACGCCCATGTACAGGGGCATACTTGGAGGTTCATGGTACGTAGTAACCCATGCCAATTATACTGTGCTTATAACCCGATTGTAAGTGTACTTATAACTTATAACCCAATTGCAACCCTATTAGGGTACTTAAGGGGCTTAGAAGTGGGTAATAGCTACACTTACAATTGGGTTATAAGTACCTTGAACCTCCGGGTTATAATTCTCCAAGTAGTTCTTAATCTGCCTTGGTGGACTGACAGACTCGGAGCTCTTGTCGAGCTCGGAGCGTGAGGTTGAACAAGCTACTTCTGACGGCCGAGGTGAACCCCTTCCTGATTCCCCTGAGTATCCTCCCAGTGGGGTCAGAAAGGCCTTTCGGGAAGCTGCAGAAAGCCAAGGGGCTTCGTCCAGAACCCTAAGCCCCAGTGTGGCGCAGCTTCTCCAAGTACACCTTATGAATCCTTACCTCACTACTTGTCAGGTGTACCTTACCAAGAGCCAACAATAAGCTCAGCCCCTACATCCGCCTAAGCTCTTAAGGGGTGCACGCTCCACGAGGCCTGATGTTGCTCGTCGTGCTCGTCACCTTGCAGACGCTTAGGCAAGATGCCATGCTTTGACTTCTCGGTAGCCCAGTACCCTTTGCCCTGTTTTTGGTTCAAGGTTCCCTTATAAGGTAGCCAACCAAAGAAAGGGTGCCCTTACTACAAGATGTTTGCTGGGCAACCAAGACTATTCGGGTTACGGTTACAGGGAGGTCGGGTGGGGAGAGGGGTCTTGTAAGGAGATCATGGTTCTTTTGCCTTGATGCCTGAAAGTCTTAACCTTCATTCCTCTTCCACATCCGAATCCGCCCCGTCTCCACTACAGCACCCTCGACCCTAAACCCCAAACCCCAAACCCTAAACCCTAAACTCTAAACCCTAAACCCTAAACCCTAGCCACCAGCCCTTTCGGTCAAAGGCTTTACGCATTCGGGTTCAGGGCTCCCAAAAAGCCTGAAGAGGCCGCCGGAGCATCCTCCTCTGGCTGCAGCCGCCGCCTCATGTGGGAGTTTCCGAAAGTAGGGGGTACCTTGTTGGGGTCCTTTCTTTTAGGGGTTTAGGGGTTTAGGGTTTGGGGTTTAGGGTTAAGGGTACCTTCTTGGGGTCCTTATAATAAGGGGGATCCTACTATCTGGGATCTATTTTAGGGGTCCCATACTTTCGTAAACACTCCCACCTGGCTGCAGGAGGGATTAGGGTTTATGGGTTTAGGGTTCGGGGTTGAGGGCTTATAGGGCTTAGGCTTTGGGGTTTAGGTCTTATAGGGCTTAGGGTTTGGGGTGTAGGGTTTAGGGCTTATAGGGCTGAGGGTTTAGGCTTTACAGGGTTTAGGGTATGGGTTGGGGGAAGTGCTCCAAACCTTTACCCGAATGCGGACCCTAGAGCCCAAAAAGCCGAGGCGAGACCCGCAGAACCGCCCGAGCTTTGGGACGAGGCGGGCCTCAGAGAAGCCTTGAGGTTGTGGGTTCGCTGCTTTTCAAGATCTGTTGCCCTTCTTGATCGACGGTTTAGGGCTTGTAAGGTTCATGGTTTAGGTTTTAAGACTTTGGGGGTTTTCAGTGTCGTTGAGGTTGAGGGCTTAAGGCCATGAATACTAGTAGTAGTAATAACAATAATGATGTTTGAGTGTTTTTTGCAACAATGTGAAGGTCTTAAGGTGTGAGGGTCTGTGAAGGGAAAGGCTTGTGGGCTTGAAGGATGGATAAGCTTTAGGGCTTCGGGCTTGGGGCTTAGGAATTAGGGTTTAGGGGGTAGGGTTTAGGGTTTAGGGTAAGGGTTTTGGGTTCGGGGGTTACGGCTTTAAGCTACACCCTTACCTCGGCCCGCACACCTTCAATCTTCCCTGGCACTACTTCAAGGCCACTACAGGGTTCATGGGTACTTACAAGTAGGGGCCCCCTAGTTATAAGTAGGGTTATAAAGGCCCTAAGTTGGGTTATAAGTCTTCCTATTTAGGTTGTAACTCCCTGAAGTAAAGTTAGTACAGTAAAGGGGCCCCTACTTGTATCAGAAGGGTTCCAAGTGCCCTCAAATGAGGTTGCAACAGTCGTTCTCCTCCTTATAAGCCTACTGACAAGTACCCAAGAACCTCCAAGTATGGTTCCTTTATACCATTGCTCTACGCACCCTTGGATTTCTAGAGGTTTTCCAGGAATATTGGCTCTCGAACTACCGTAAACCAGTCCAAACCCTAAACCCTAGACATTTAATCCCAAAACCTCTCAACCCTAACCTATTCCTTATGAAAGAAGCCCCACGCGTGCCGCAGACCATCATCAAGGTCAAGCCCAAGCAGAAGGACCACCCTTTGCAGTCGAGGTTAAGTTTTTTGCTTTCGAGGTTCTTGGAGTTTGGGGTTTGGGGGGTTTTGTGGGATTTGGGGGTTCTGGGTTTAGGGGCGCCGAGGGGGGGGGGCGGTTGGTGGTGCTTAATTAGTGGGTATCTCGTGCTTCTGCGGCTGTGGGATGGTTTCGGAACCCTAAAGCGGCCGTAACACCCGAAACCCGAAGACCTGCGCTACAAGCCCAAGAAACCCGAAACCCCAAACCCTACGCCCAAAACCCTAAAATGCCTGAAATCCCCACAGGGCATGGCCTGAACCCTAAACCTCAAACCCTACAAACCCTAAAATTCCCCTTAGTCTACTCCTGATATGGCCCTTTCGCTATCTTAGGGATCTTGAAGTAGGGTCCCCAAAACCCAAGGGCACAACCCTAACCCTTAAACCCTACAAACCCTGAACCCTGAACCCTAAACCCTAAACCCTAAACCCGAAAAGCCCTGCAGGACATGGCCTCTTGCGGCCTCTATGGCTGTGGTGATCTCAGCCTCCAGGTCAGCTGCCGCTGCAACAAAGAGTGCCCGAGCCTCAGGCCGTAGGGCTTTTAGGGCTCATGCAGGGTTTTTAGGGGTTTTGTTGTTTTTTTTTTTTTTTTTGTGTGTGTGTGTGTCTTTAGGGTTTTGAGGGTTTTAGGGTTTTAGGGTTTATGGGGTTTATCGGGTTCAAAGGGCTGAGCTTATAGGACTTGCAGGTTTTAGAGGGCTTCTAACAGGGCGTTTAGGGCTTACAGGGCTTAGGGGTTTTAGGGCGTTTGGGCGTTTAGGGTTTTAGGGCGTGTGGGCGTTTAGGGTTTTGGGATCTGGGGTTTTATGCGTTTCGGGTTTAAGGGGAGTTCAGCTCGGCAGGCTTCAGTGTGTAGAGCTTACGGATTACGGCAGGGTTTCGGGTTCAGGGAGCTCCGAACTCCAAGCCCTAAACCCTATAAGCCCGAGACCTCAATCCTAGGTAGGCCCTTGGAACATTTTTCATCTTTTCCCTTATTTGGGTTGAAGAGGGTGAGATTCAGGATAAACCCTAAACCCTAAACCCTAAACCCTAAACCCTAAACCCCAAACCCTAAACCCTAAACCCTAAACCCTAAATTTCAGAGGCTTTTAGGGGCCATCCTAGAACCGTAAAAGCCGAAGCACGCGAGTCACGCGCCCAGGTGAGATGGACGGGACCTGTTGCGAAGACTACCATGCCATCTGCAAGGACAGGATGCTCCGAATCCAAAGCATGTCGGGTTCAGGGTTTAGGGTTTAGGGTTTAGGGTTTAGGGTTTAGGGTTTAGGGTTTAGGGTTTAGGGTTTAGGGTTTAGGGTGTAGGGTGTAGGGTGTAGGGTGTAGGGTGTAGGGTGTAGGGTGTAGGGTTGGGATGTTCCCCGTTTTACTAGCAGTCCCTTAATAGGGACGGTTATAGGGGGTACGAGAATACCTATTCAGGACTGTTAGTATAAGGGGAAGATTCCAAGGTTTAGGGTTTAATTAGGGCATTCCCACTCAACTCGAGATCCTAAACGTAACGGAGCTTTTGAGCCTTAAGCAGGGTGTAGGGTTTATCACAGACCACTTCGCCTGATAATTCTACTACAACCCGAAGGGGACGAGGTGCCTAAACTCGAAAGCCAAGGTGGGGGGGGGGGGGTGTAGTACAGGATCCTATAAGCGCTACCGTAAACCCTAAACCCTATAAACCCTAAACCCCATAATATACACCCTAAACCCTAGACCCGAACCCTAAACCCTAAACCCTAAACCCCAGAGAAGAAGCCGGATCCGCAGGACCACTCTGCGGCGCAGCCAAGCACTCCCAAGGCAGTGGGGTACTTGAAGGTTCAGGGTACATCTAGGACCCGGAGTACCTTGTTTTAGGGTTGGGGTCCCTTTATAATCCCCTTAAAACCAAAAAGGGTGCTCTTCCGGGCTACTCCTGGGTCTAGACTTATAACCCAGTTATAAGTGCAGTTATAAGCCCCGTAAGTACCCTAACAGGGTTATAATTGGGTTATAAGTACAGTTATAGTTGGGTTACTAAGTACCATGAACCTCCATGTGAGGAATTCCTCCATGCCTTAGATGCAGGGCTTCGGGTATAGGGGTTTAGGGGCTCGGGTTTAGGGTTTAGGGTGTAGGGTATGTGTGCGTGTGTGGCTAAACTGCACTCTGTAAGCATCGGCGATCCAAATCCCTGAGCCCGTTCTTTGAATCCTAGACCTTGAACTTTGAGCACGAAACCCTCCGTATGCTTCGTCTATCTATAGGTGGTGTTACCGTTTAGGGGTTTAGCGGTGTAGTAGGTGTTTAGGGTTCTAGGGGTTTAGGGGTGTAGGGGTTAGGTGTTTAGGGGTTTAGCCTTGTGAAGCCTGCACCTAGATGGACTGTTCGTCAACCGTGCCTGTCGTCGCTCGAGCCTATGCCTTCAGGCCAGCCAGCCACCTCTCCTAGGACCCCACAGTCGGCCCATATTCTCTTTTCTGTTGGGGTTTACATTCCCTCTTAAGCTCCTTCGTTAGGGTTTACATTCCCTTATAGGCTCCTTTAACCTCAAGAAATGCACCCTTTGTATTCCTAGCTTCGTGTAGTCTCTCGCCCTAAACACCACAACCCCCGAACCCCTCAAACCCAAGCAGGGCTTGTATGGTTTAGTACGTGGGCAGGAAGGCAGCTGCAACAAGTACGGGTGCTTGAACGTTATCAAGCCGGAGCACACGCGGGGCACTTGAAAATTTGGTCCGGAGTTCATCATCAGATCCGGGTTTGGGTTGTTTAGTGTTCAGGGATAGGGTTTAGGGTTCAGGGTTCAGGGCCTTTTCACTGAGGGTTTAGGGTTTAGGGTTTAGGGTTTAGGGTTTAGGGTTTAGGGTTTAGGGTTTAGGGTTTAGGGTTTAGGGTGGTAATGTTGAACCGTTCATCCTATCATTGTTTAGAGGGATCGGCCTTGGGGGGCCAGGGTTTAGGGCTTCTAGGGATTAGGATTTAAGATTTAGGTTTGTGTCAGTCTTGGCCTCACCACAGTCATTCCCTCTACATGCTCGTAGTGAGGAGCAGCCATTTGGTGCTGCCAAATCGTAGTACAGGGGGCCCTGCTTGGGGCATTTGAGTGCTCTTGCAATTGCTCGGACAGTCACCCGGCTATTCTTGAACCTTGCGAACCTCATGCACTTCCCAGGCCAAGTTGCTCCAGAAAGCCAACTTCTGCTTGAGATTCATGACAGCTGCGCTCGTAAACAGTTGTTTGTGCGGTGGACGCAGACGCTTTTTCCTGATCAAGCCTTGTGTAGCCTCAGGAAGCCTTACGCAGCCCCTATACCCCTCGACCTCAACCACCCAACCTCCCAACCTCCCAACCTCCCAACCCCTCAACCCCTCAACCCCTCAACCCCTCAACCCCTCAACCCCTCAACCCCTCAACCCCTCAACCCTCGACCTTAAACCTCCCAACCCCCCAACCAGCCTTACTCAGCCAACAGAAGAACTGTGTTTTTTGGGCTTCCTTATTTAGGAAGAACAATCATAACTTTTTGTCTCCTTGGCTATTGGAGAAGGAAGAAAATCCTGCACCTTACCCCAGGTGTCAATGCACAGCCAGCTGCCGTGACTTCGGCGACTGCTGCGAGGACTTCGAGCACTTTTGCGGCGTGGGGTGGCCCAGGGGAGAGGAGGGAAGGGGGGGGGGGGGGGGGGGCGAAATTTTTTCCCTAAAATTGGGGTCATATACCTAGACTAGTATAATTCCTATTAAGGTATATGAACCATAAACCCTTTTAGGCTTCATATCGTCCCCAAGCAAAGGGGGGGGGGGGGAGTTTGGAGAGAGTTTAGGTTCAGGGTGGTACTTCTAGGTTCATGGGTACTTATATCTAGGGCTATCAGCAGAGTAACTATGGTTATCCCCCTTTCTGGGGTACATACAACCCTACGTTTAAACAATCAATAACCTCCAGGTCGCGTTTAGGGCTTAGGTCTTGGGATCAGGGCAGTTGGATTTGGACCCCCCCCCCCCCCAACTCCGCTAGAAGAAGTTACTTGCTTCCAGCTTCGGCGAGTCCATGTAAAGGCGGATGCTTCCACCGAAAGAGGGTTTCAGGGTTTTCGGGTCGCAGGGTCTAAGAATTAAGGGTTTAGGGTTTCGGGTTTGGGTTTATAGGATTTAACCCTCGCATTTGGGTTTGGGGTTTAGGGTTTAGGGTTTAGGGTTTAGGGTTTAGGGTTTAGGGTTTCGGGTTTAGGGTTTAGGGTTTAGGGTTTAGGGCTACCTGAGGCAAAAAGCTTCATCGCCCTGGAGGTGGCTCCCAAGGAGGACAAGAAGGAGAAGCACGAGGCCTTTGGGCTTCAGGGTTTTGGGGTTTAGGGTTTTGGGGTTTGGGGTTTAGGGTTTGGGGGTTTAGGGTTTAGGGTTTAGGGTTTGGGGTTTAGGGTTTAGGGTTTTGGCTTAAGCCCTAAGAGGTTAGGAGCCCCATGTCGGCTGTGAAGCTCTTTTTTTTTCTCGCTCTCTCCCTCTCTCTCTTTCTCTGTTGTCCTCTGCTTACTAGTCTTTTATCTTTATATACATTTATACCCTCTGAAATCCTGATGCTTCGGGATTGCTGGACCTCTTTAGAGTTTTAGATTTTTGGGTTTTAGGATGTTAGGATGTTCCCCTCCCCAACCCCTCCCCCCCCCCAAATACTAGCCATCGACGAATGGTAGATCGTTGGTGCAAGTCTGAATTTCGGAACCTGCCAAGATCCTAGTTTTTCAAACGCTCAACCCTAAACCCTAGAAACCCTAAGCCCTTTATGCGACGTCCACCCGGGAGTCTGCGCAGCGACGAGCCTTGCGAACCTTTCACCTCTGGGAAGATGAGGGGGAAGCCGGAAGCCGATGACAACGCATCAGCATCAACATTCTCGACAGAGCGGGTGATCCCACGATTGCTCAAGAGGGCTCGAGAAGGAGGCGTCGACAGAAAGTGCTGAGTCGTGCAAGGGTGCTCCGGAAGCATTCCCGAACTTCCGAGCACATGGCAGAGGTGCATCGGAGCTTACAGACGCCGGCTGAGGGATCAGGAGCTGGGGGGGTCATCGTGTGGCAACGGCTGCTACAAGGAGGAATTTCGAATCCTACCCGAGGCCCTGGACCCTGAGCCCATAGACCAGACATCCCAGCAACCCTACACCAATCATTATATTATTCTTTTTTTGTGGGGGGGGGGGGGGGTGGGGGGGGGGGGGGGGGGGGGGGGGGAGTTCTTAAGCCAATAGACTTAAACTGTCCCTACACCCTACCCTAAGCCCTAAACATTAGGTTCAGGTTTGGGGTTGAAGGTTTGGGGTTAGGGTTTTGAGGGAGTTCAGGGTTTCGGGTTTAGGGTTTTTGGGGTAGGTTTCAAGTTCCGGGTTGAAGAGACCACAGCAGAGTGGAGGCGGAGGGGGGGGGGGGGGGGGGGGGGGGCTAACCCTAAACCCTAAACCCCTTGGGTTTGGGGTTTAACCTTCAAGATGCGAGACCTGCCAGACCTTCTTGTTTGGGGATTTAGGGTTTTGGGGTTTGAGGGGTTTGGAAGTTTAGGGTGCAAGGTCAGGGGCATTCTGCTACATTGAGGGCTCCAAAAAGAGGTTGTATTTCTGAGCATGAAGCCTAAGCGCCTACAAGCAGGGGCCCCCTAGTTATAAGTGGGGTTATGAAGGCCCTAAATTGGGTTACAAGTCTTCCTATTTAGGTTACAACTCCCTTAAGTACAGTTGGTACAGTAACGGGGCCCCTACTTGTAAACCCTCAACCTTCACCCCTTAATGTGACCCAAAAGGGCAAAAGGCAAGGTAGGCTCCTTCGCCTGCTGCTGACATCGCCGCCAGAGGTGCGCTCCGGCATGTTTGCTTGGTGGCCCAGTGGTACCCGTTCCCCTTTTGTTGGTTCAAGGTTCCCTTGTAAAGCAACCAACCCCAAAAAGGGTTCCCTTACTATGATTTGGCTACTGGGGCTCAAACCCACCCCCTATAGAAGCCCAAACAGGAACCTCCCCCCCCCCCCCCCACAAAAAAAGAAACGAACATGTCTAGGGGTTCATGGTTGATATGTCATGCTTCTTTGGAGTGGCCGTCCTTACAAGAAGAGAGGTTGGGGGCTTTCTCTTATCGGGCGGGAACCCTAAACCCTAAACCCTGAACCCCAAACCCCCCATGTTGGCCCAAGCACAGCACTTGGCTCAAAGTCACTCTGCTCGTCGTTTGCTCGATACACGCTTGGCGCCGTCATGCTCCAGTCCATGGCGAAGGCCGGCGGCCTTGCTTTTTTTCCGGGCAAGATATAATATACATATAATATATGTATACATAATATACATACAGATATATATATATATATGTATGTAGTGTGTATATGTATCTTCTTATCTTTGTTTTTTCCTATATTTTCCTGTTTTCCGGTTCTATCTATATCTCTTTCTGCAGGCATCTGCGTTCGTGCGTGCGTGCGTGCGTGCGTGCGTGCGTGCGTGCGTGCGTGCGTGCGTGCGTGCGTGCGTGCGTGCGTGCGTGCGTGTGTGTGTGTGTGTGTGTGTGTGTGTGTGTGTGTGTTTTATCTTCTGTTCTTCAGTGTATAGCTATCGCGGCAGATTTAGCCAGAGATCTTCCGACGCACGGCTAAAATCTGTCAGATGGCAGATTTGAGAGTTGAAGGCTCTGGGACCTTCAGTTTGCAGACTGTAGAGTCAGGTCCTTCTGACTGCGCTGTTGGTTTTGCCTTCTTCGGCCATGCGCGACGATTCTTGGAGTTTTGGATGACTGCCAGTGTTGTAGGCCCCTTACAGAGTAGTGTCTAAGGGGGATCCAGGTACTTATATAATATTCCCTATTGAGAACATGTAAGATTATGATCAGCACCAGCTCCAGCCCTAAACCCTATAAACCCTAAACCGTAGTATTCCCGTATGTGTGGTAGGGACCCGCAAGGCTTTATGTGTTTCAAGAGGCCTTGCGTGGGGCTTCGGGTAAACTCAAGACACAAAGCTAAGAAGCCCAAGCCGCAAACCCGCAACCCCCGGGGAACTGCAAACCCTAAACACCTATACCCCCCCCCCTCCCCCAACCCCAAACCCAAACAAGGATCTTCAGAAGTCCGATGATGATGCTGGGGTGGATTTGGAAATACGGTTGACAAGCTATACATTTTTCGTCTACGTGCATTCGTCTTCATAAGCCTCTAAAACAGACCCATCACCCTTCCCCAGCCCAACTAGACCCCAAACCCTGAACCCGAAACCCTTTACCCCAAGCCCAAAACCATAAGCTCCAAGCCCTAAGCCCTAAACCCCAAGCCCCTCCTAAAACCCTCAAATCCGACTCAGGAGGACTCGTGGGGCTCCCCGCAGGTGGTTGAGAATAGAGGCCGGGGTTTCGGGTTTAGGGCTAGGGTTTAAGGTTTAGGGTTTAGGGCTTGTGGTTTAGGGTTTAGAGGTGCATTTTGGGGATTTGAGATTTGGAATTTCGGGTTTAGGGTTTCTCCTCGCTTGAGAGCGCCAAACGAAACTCGAGCGACTGTTATCGTGTTTTTTTCGGGGCGGGGGGGGGGGGGGGGGGGGGGGGGGGGGGGGGGGGGGGCAGGGGGTTCTGAAGCAAGTTGTAGATAAGGGTTGATGGAGTGTTGGGCATCTGGGGAGGGGTGAAATTAAGCATCTCACATGCGGTACAAGTACGGGCCCCTTACTTTACTAACTTCACTTAAGGGAGTTGTAACCTAAATAGGGAGACTTATAACCCAATTTAGGGCCTTTATAAGCCTACTTATAACTAGGGGGCCCCTACTTGTAGCTTTTGAAACTTGACCGACTCCTGGACCATATAGTCGCAGAGGCAACCCCAAACCCTCTACCCCAAGCCCTAACTCAAGCCAAAAAGACAGGGGGGGGGGGGGGGGGGGGCGGGGGGCGAAAACGCTGATTTTGCTGAGGGCGCCCCTACCCCCCTGTGCTGAACCGCCTGTTTACGCTGTGCGGGTGGTGCGGTCCTCCACGAAAAAATTGTGCACCGACCCGGTAAGGAGGGAAAGAGGGAGGTTTTCACCTCCAAACCCATCCAACACGCCGCCAGGGTCGGCGGACCCCAAACCCCAAACCCCAAACCCCTAACCCCTAACCCCTAACCCCAAACCCTAAACCCTAAACCCTAAACCCTAAACCCAAAACCCAAAACCCAAAACCCAAAACCCCAAACCCCAAAACCCCAACACCCCAAAACCCAACCCAAGTCTGCCCAGGTTTCAGCCCGGAGGCTGTTTCCCACCTGCAGAACGTGATCAAAACATGCAAGGCAAGCGCCGCCCCGCTGCGCCCAGACCCGGGCTTCGGGCTCTACAGGCTTTTTTTTCAGGGGCAGGAAGGGGTTTTAAAGGGTTGTCTAGGCTTTTTAGTTAGGGCTTCTTGGTGTATAGGGTGAAGCCGTTTATGGTTGCAAACTTAGGAGTACGAGTATCAACCCCTTGATTCCGGAGGTTTGCGGTTTGGGTTGTTTGGGCTCAATCATCCAAACCCTAAACCCTCAACCCTCAACCCTCAACCCTAAACCCCAAACCCTAAACCCCTCAAGTCCCAAACTTCACACCCCTCTCAGCCGGAGCCTGCCTCTGTTTTCCTCGGTAGCCCTTGAAATGCCCCTTCCTGAGCCTAAGCCGTAGACCGTAAACCCTAGACCCTAAACCGTTAACTTCGATGTCCTGTGGCCTTCATGTTTCAGAGTTTCCTGCCTGCCAGGAGCCCTTGAATTGAATCCTAACCCCTGAACCTTAGGGTTTAGGGTTTAGGGTAGACCAAGGCTGACTACAACCAGATGGCCGCTTGCGTCGCCAACAGCTGCAATCAACAATGGGGCCCTGGCTACCACGCGGTGGCCGCCGACGCCGCCGTTCCCCTGCATGTCGCTTAGCTGGTGAATTGGGGTTTAGGGTTTAGGGTCTAGGGCTCTTGTCTAGGTTCTCGACGTTTCTTTACTTTGTAACCCCGCAACAAAAGTCAAAGCCTTGCCCCTAGACAATCGTAAGCCCTGATTAAACCCGACTCAAACCCTGAGAGGGCCTTCATAACCCCCACTTATAACTAGGGGGCCCCTACTTGTACCAGAAACATGCCTAGACCCTTAAACCCCCGAGCAGTCGATGGGATGATACCCCGCAAGCGCCTTCTGCGACCCTGAGCATCCCTAGCCCCAAACCCCAAACCCTAAACCCTAAACCCTAAACCCTAAATCCCAAACCCTAAACCCTAAACCCTAAACCCTAGACCCTAAACATCCCCAAAGGGCCCTTGAGCCCCTCTGAAGGTGGGCAGCAGCATGGAGACGTCCATGC